GCATTCCGAAGCTGCATGCAATCTGTTAGAATATTCACTGTAGTTATATTTTCTTCCAGCAGCCAGGATAAGGCCTCATTACAAGATAGGGCCTCCACCATGAACGGCGACATACAATGCGATAGCTTTCCATTTCGAGCAGCTAAGAAGGCCCCATCCGGAGAACAAAGTACCATGGCAAAGGTAGCCTCTCCCGTTGCTTGTCTGAACCCTGTGTCTATGTAGCACCTTGGCCCATCATGGACGTGAACCGGAGCTGCTGCCACGGGTTGCGCAGCGCGGAGGTTGGCCTAGGTGGCTGCCGCCGCCCTCCTCACGCCAGCTGGTCGGGGGAGTGCACTGTCCCAAACCGTCGAGTTTCGGGCACGCCAAAGCTGATACAACAGCGCCACCATATCCCCAACTTGCTCCTCTGTCAATATTTCAAGTGCAGTTATTAGCCAAGCGGGAAACGAGGTTGCAACAATATTTGTGATAGGGAGTCCTGAAATATTCCATATAAGTCTAGAATAATCACAAGAAACTAGTGTATGCATAACATTCTCATGTGCCAACCCACACATTTGGCATGTAGGATCAATCTCCACCCTCTTTATAATAAAATTAGTTGTTGTTGGGAGGATATTACAAATTGCCCTCCAGAGGAAAGTTTTCCATTTTGGGGGAACTTTTATTTTCCATATAGGGATCCATTTATCAAACAAATTAATATTGATTTCCATTCCGTTTTCCTTCATAATTTTTTTTTTCTAATATTTCATTTGGTGGTTACTAATTTTTTTCGTAGGGAAAGCTATGTTATATTTCCAGTGAAATATTATTACATTCTTTTCGTTGTTTCTAATATTTCATTTTCTTTAAAATATATTCATTTCCTCTTTTCCGTCATAAAAAAATTAGTATTGATTTTCATTCGTTTTTCCTTCATAATTTTTTCCTAATATTTCATTTGGGTTGGTGGTTACTAATTTTTTCATATGAAAATCGGTGTTATATTTTTAGTGAAATAGTAATATATTCATTTTGTTTTTCCTAATATTTTATTTCTTTTTGAATATATTCATTTCCTTTTTTCCTTTCTAAAAAGAATTAATATTGATTTACACTCTTTTTTTCCTTCATAATTTTTTTCCTAATATTTCATTTGGTGGTTACTAATTTTTTCGTAGGGAAAATTGTGTTATATTTCTAGTAAAATATTAATATATTCATTTCGTTTTTCCTAATATTTCATTTCCTTCTGAATATATTCATTTCTTTTTTTCCTTCATAAAAAGAATTAATATTTATTTCTATTCCTTTTTCCTAATAATTGTCGATTAATTGGCCTGATTTCTGTGCCGATTAGTAACAGATTATTAATAACATATTTCTGTGTGTAATATTCATTTCCTTACTCATTCGTAAAAAGAATTAATAGTCATTTCCACATAATTAAATAGTAATATAATTATAAGAATATAATTACTTATTATATTTCCAGTGAAATATTAATATATTCATTTCGTTTTTTCTTCATAAATAATTAATATAATTATAATAATATAATTGCCGATTATATTTTAAATGAAATAGGTATCCTTTTTCATTCATAGAAAGAGTTAATATTCATTTCCATTTCTTTTTGCTTCATAATTTTTTCCTAATATTTCATTTGGTGGTTACTACTTTTTTTGTAGGGAAAGTTGTGTTATATTTCCAATGAATTTTTAATATTAAATTCCTTTTTCATTTGGCATGACTCTCATGACAATTAGTAATAAAATATTAATAATAGATTCACGTGTGTAAAATTCATTTCCTTTTTTGTTCATAAAAGAAAGTAATATTCATTTCCATATAATTAAAAAGTAATATAATTATGAATATATAATTGACGATTATCTTTCTAAAGAAATATTACTATATTCATATCCTTTTTCCTTTAGAAAAATATAATTGCCGATTATATTTCGAGTGAAATATGAATATATTCATTTCCCTTTTCCTTAATAAAAAGAATTAATATTTATTTCCATTCCAATTTCTTCATAAAAAGAATTTATATTCATTTCTAGTCATAAAAACAATCTGGTACGTTTGTAATATTCATTTTCAATCATAAAAACAATCTGGTACGTGCTTAATAATCATTTCCTTTTTCCTTTAACCTAATTTACCAATTAGTTATTTACTTATTAAGCACGGATTCTTTTTTTTTTTTAATTCGAGTCAATTTTTAATATTAATTTCCTTTTTCATTTGGTATGATTTATATGCCAATTAGTCACAAAATATTAATAACAGATTTTTATGTGTAATATTCATTTTCTTTTTCATTCATAAAAAAATTAATATTCATTTCTATATAATTAATATGCAATATAATTTTAAAAAAAATATAATTACAGATTATATTTCTAGTGAAATATTAATATATTCGTTTCTTTTTTCCTTAATAAATAATTAATATAATTATAATAATATAATTGCTGATTATATTTTTAGTGAAATGAATATATTCATTTTCTTTTTCGTTCAATTTGTGTGTGTGAGTGTCTGTGTGTGTGTGTGTATATATATATATATATATATATATATATATATATATATATATATATATATATATATATATATATATATATATATATATATATAAAAGGTGGGAAAATAGTAATACTATTAATTGTATGGATATTTTTATTTTTTAAATTTATTAATTAATGGTATGAATCTTTTTTTTATATTATTTTATTTTTAATTTTTTGGCCAGACTAGATTGTCGTAGGAGATGGCAGGTCATGGTTCAATATTAATTCTTTAGCTTTCTATATATGCGATTTTGTATATAGAATTATATTACCAATTAAAAGTAGGTTATGGTTATGGTATTTATTATATTACCTATTAAGACGGCGGGTCACAATTATGATTTTTATTATATATATTACCAATTAAAATTAGGGTTTTTATTATACTTGAACAATAATATTAGTAATGAATAATATATGTATAGTACTTTGTCTATCTATAAGGAGGGGGATACCCAAGAAAAACTAAACTAGCTATTGGCGCCACATGGAGATACCATCTAAATCATCATGAAGCACGTTCAAAACCTCGTCCAGTGAATTATATAGGATATGCAGACCTTTAGGGAAATGCTTGGCTCTACGTGCTATAGCGTCGACCAAGAGATTATGTTCACGAACTGCTAGCGACAACCTCCATGTATTGATTGTGCTTAATTCCGCACACAAGCCAACAAAAGGTTATGGAGCACATTGTTGTAGGCGTGGGTGGTGTTAGCACTTTCATATAGCTCTCTGGAATCCGTTTCGAAGGTAACGTCCGTAAGACCTAGGTGCTTTACCAGTAGGATGCCTTTCAGTAGAGCCCAAGTCTCGGCTTCAAGTGGTGAGCAACAGCCAATGCTATACAAAAAACCTGCCACCTATCGGCCTTCGTCGTCTCTGATCACACCGCCGCATCCTTCCTTGCCATTGTGGATATCTACAGAGCCGTCTAGGTTTATTTTCACCGTGCCTTCAGGTGGTGCTAACCAACGAAATTTCGACCATGAGTTCCAAAAGGCGACGTCTCGAGAGGTTTTGGAACCTGCAAAGGCCTTGGCGGCTTGTTCAACTTGGAGTTTAATACATGCAACCTTGAAGTTGGCGGGTTTCTCCAGGTTATTAAAGATCCTATCGTTCCTCCACCTCCAAATCCACCATAGGGTTTTAGATTTCTCTTAATGAAGTTACGGACGAAGCAAAAACAGAAAGGATGAGGAAAGAAGAAGAGTTGCAGAGAAATGGAGCGAAGGGAAAAAATATCTACCAGTTATGAAAGAACCTGCAGTTTATGTATTTATACAATGGATTACTGGACTAACTGATCTGTTGCGTGAGTAGCTGTACTCTAACAGAATAATACAGCTATTCAACTAATTTAAAGCTCTAATAGACTACTTTGTTGGGCACCCTCTTCACGTGTGTCTTATTGTTCACGTGCACCATCCTTCAATATGCCCCCGCAAGTTGGAGCATATATGTTATGTATGCCCAACTTGGAAGTGAAATTAAGAAAGGAACCAGGGGGGTGAGGTTTAGTGAAAACATCTGCTAATTGCTGTCCAGTAGAAACATGTAGGAGCTTGAGGAGACCTTTCTGTAACTTTTCTCTAACTAGATGGCAATCTAACTCTATGTGTTTTGTACGCTCATGAAAGACTGGGTTCTCCGCTATGGCGATAGTAGATTTACTATCTGAGAATAGAACTGGGGGAGAAGCAGGTTGCACCCCTAAGTCTTGAAGTAAAAAACTGAGCCATTGAAGCTCGCAGGTGGCAGTGGCAATGGCCCTATACTCTGCTTCCGATTACGATCTAGACACCGTTGGCTGTTTCTTTGACTTCAAAGAAATGAGACTGGAGTCTAGGAAGATACAATATCCTGTGACTGAGCGCCTAGTGTTGAGGCATACTTCCCAATCTGAGTCACTAAAACCCTTTAAGACCAAAGCGGAAAAAGCCGAGTAGAATAATCCTTGTCCAGGGGTCCCTTTGATGTACCGCAAGACTCTGTGGGCGGCCTTTAGGTGTAACTCTGTCGGTTGATCCATAAATTGGGAGAGTTGTTGTGTGGCAAAAGAAATATCGGGTCTAGTAACAGTGAGGTAGATCAATTTTCCAACAATGCTTCTGTATATCGAAGGATCATGAATAATAGGACTGACATTCTTGTGTAGCTTCACAGAAGGAACCATTGGGATGTGGACTGGTTTGCTGTCCAGAAATCCAGTTTCCTCTAACACTTCAAGAGCATATTTTCTTTGGGATACATTGATACCAGACTTGTTCCTTGCAACTTCTAATCCAAGGAAGTATTTTGCAGGTCCTAAATCCTTGATCTTAAAGGTGGAATGAAGGTGAGCTTTAATATTCTGTATTTGTAGTTCACTACTGCTAGCTAATAGTATGTCATCTACATATACTAGCAGGGCTATGAAGGAATCACTTGTACCTTTAGTGAACAAGGAGTGATCTGAACCTGCTTGGATAAAACCTTGTGCAAGAAGTTCTGTTGTGAGCTTGATGTTCCACTGTCTACTGGCCTGTTTAAGACCATATAAGGATTTCCTGAGTCTGCAGACTTGCCCAGGTTTAGGAGGACTATAGCCTGGGGGTGGGACCATGTATACTTCTTCATCAAGATCCCCATGCAAAAAAGCGTTATTGACATCCAACTGGTGTAGGAACCAACCTTTGACAGCAGCCACGGCGAGAAGAGTTCTTATAGTTGTCATCTTAGCTACTGGGCTGAAAGTCCCAATGTAGTCCAACCCAGGGATTTGGGTATAACCTTTAGCCACAAGCCTGGCCTTGTAACATTCAATACTGCCGTCTGGATTATGCTTCACTTTGTATACCCATTTGCAGCCCAATAGTTTCTTGGACGGGGAGCATGTCTACAAATTCCCAAGTCTGATTAGTTTCTAATGCTGAGATTTCATTATCCATAACTTCTTTCCAGCAAGAATGTCTAACAGCTTCTTGATATGAGGAAGGTTCTTTAATGGATGAGATGTTTACAGAAAATACTTTGTGAGCCTGAGACAGATTGTTATATGACAGAACCTTTGAAACAATGTGTGGACTGGTTTTCTTGTTTTGTATGGAACATGCATAGTCATCAAGATAGGTTGGTTTAACTTTGTGCCTGTTGGATCTTCTAATCACTGGTTGAGGGGGTGTATGGATTACATTTGGTTGAGCATTGTGATTAGAAGAACTGGTGGACAATGAAGTGTCTGCCATTGGACATGGGTTATTATTAGACACTGTGGTGTCTGTTTCATGGATTGTAGCTTCTAGATTATCATCTAAAATGTGGTTCTGTATTGCTTGGGGAACATCTTGGGTTGGTAAAAAAGATGGTTGGGGTAGGATGAGGTACTCTGGAGCAGTGGAGGGAGCTGAAGAAAAGGGAAACACACCCTCATGGAAAACAACATCTCTAGATATGAACACTTGCCTAGTAGTTAAATCATACATTTTGTACCCCTTAACTCCATTGGTGAACCCAAGAAAAATACACTTTCTAGCTCTAGGATTGAACTTTGTTCTATGAGCAGAAAGTGTTGAAGCAAAAGCTAAGCAACCAAAAACTTTCAAGTTTGAGTAGGAGGGAATTTTACCAAAAAGGACCTGATACGGTGTTTGATTTTGAAGGACCGGAGATGGCAGTCTGTTGATTAAGTAGATGGCGTGAATGACACAATCGGCCCAAAATCTTTCTGGGAGGTTGGCCTGAAATTTGAGAGCTCTAGCAACAGCTAAGATGTGCCCGTGTTTTCGCTCTACCACACTGTTTTGTTGAGGGGTTTCAACAGAACTTGTCTGATGAATGATTCCCTTTTCAGCATAAAATGAAGGCATGTTGAATTCCTGACCGTTGTCACTACGGATGCTCTTGACAGAGGTAGAAAACTGAGTCTCGACAAAAACACAAAAATTTTGCACCAGCCCCCTTGTCTCACTTTTGTGTTTTAGCATGTATACCCAAGTGGATCTACTATAGTCATCTACTATGGTGAGGAAGAAAGAATCACCATAAATTGAGGATACACGGTTAGGCCCCCAAATATCAACATGAATCAAATTAAAACAATTATTAGTGGTTGAAGTGCTCAGGGGAAACTGCAGTCTCTTTTGTTTAGCAAAATGACGGATTTCACATATAGTGTTTCTTGAGGTACAAATTGAAGGATCTAAGCCTTGTAACACTTTAACTCTTGGGTAGAATGGATGTCCTAGCCTATAGTGCCAAGTGTCCATGCCACTTACAGTTTTATTCACAGTATTTACAGCAAAAACATTATGAGGAATAACATGTCTACTTGAGGTGTTATCATCAGAATTAACAGGAACAGTAAATGATGGTGAGACAAGCTTGTATAAGCCTTCCTCTTGTTTAGCTAGTCCAATCATCTTCCATGATTGAGAGTCCTGAATGATACACTGATTAGCCTTCAAGAAAATGCACCATTTACCATCTCTTAAGATTTGACTGACAGAAATCATATTAAAATGGAAGCCAGGCACACAATAGACATTATGCAGTGTAAAATCCTTAGAAAAACACACAACTCCTACGTGTGTCACGGGTGCTTGATGACCATTTGGTAACTTGATGGATAGGTGCTTAATAGGTTCATAATGAGAGAAGAACTGGACATCAGATACAATGTGGCAAGTGGCTCCTGTATCAATTAACCAACTAAGGGAATCAAACTGTTTTTGAGGATAAAACTTACCATAAGGCTCTTTGTGTGATCCAACGTCACAATCAGCAACATTGACTTGATTTGCCACCAAGGGGGGGGGGGGGGGGGGGGGGTTCGGTCCTAACTAGAAATTTGGTGTAGGATTGGAATTTTGTCCTTCTTTGCTAATGAGATACAAAATCTTCTCATACTGGTCTCTGGTGAAACCTCTTGTGTAGTCAGTGTCATCTTGAGCTTGTGACACCTGAGCAGCATTAGCTACCCCTCCAGCTTTCCCTTTCCCTCTATAACCAGGAGGGCAACCGTGTTTTTTGTAACACTTCTCAACGGTGTGACCTGTAAAGCCACAAAAGCTACACACAACAGTCTTCTTATTATTATTATTGAATCTCCTGTTGTTGTTTCCAGACTGGTTTGTCTTGGCAAAAGAGGCATTGGCATAGTTTGTGTTTATCACATTGTTATCAGCAGGAGGGGTATTGTTTACCAGATTCTCAATATATGGTGTGTTAGGGAAAATTTGCCTCTCCTGAACCTGTAACATGGAACAGGCTTCCCCCACGCTTGTGAGTGGTTTCATTAACAGGATCTGTGACCTCACTCCTCCATAGAGTTGACTGTTTATCCCTTTTAGGTACCTTGAATGTGGGTTTTTATTTTGTCAAAAGCTCCACAGTTACATTTAGGATCACAAGTGCATATAGGGAGAGGCCTAACATTATATAGTTCATCCCATAAGAGTTTCAGCTGAGAATTGAATTCACTCACAGTGTTGCCTCCTTGCATCAGATGATATATTTCTTCATTGATGTCGGCGATTCTGAAGGCATCGCCCTGGCCGTACCGTTTCTTGAGATCATTCCAGACCTCTTCTGCTGTCTCCATCCACAGAACTCCTTGAGCTACACTTGGAATAACAGAGTGCAAGATCCATGAGAGCACAAGGTTGTTAGCTCTGCGCCATGCAGGGAAACTCCTTTCTCTCTTCTCCGGCCTTTTGATTTCTCCATTTACAAACTCCAGTTTGTTCTTCGTCAGTAGAGCCATGCGCATGGCTCTCTCCCAAGGATAATAGTTGTTTCCGTTCAGTAAAACGGAAACTAGAGTTTGCGAAGGATTTTCGCTAGCAGAGACGTGATATGGATTGCTGGTGTCTTGCGGATTGACCGTGATTTCGACCCTAGGCTCATCTTCTCAGTTGTGAGGTGCTTGCGGAGCGTTTTGAGCAGCTTGATTGATCAGAGCAGTCCGATTATGTGCTTGTTGCGGAGAAATCGTAGGAAGTGCCGAAGTTCCGATTCCTGGAATGGAGCATGTGTTTTGCCACGCCATGATAGAGGATTACGCCTTCTTTGCTTAGTTATCTGATACCATTTTATATTTCTCTTAATGAAGTTACGGACGAAGCAAAAACAGAAAGGATGAGGAAAGAAGAAGAGTTGCAGAGAGATGGAGCGAAGGGAAAAAATATCTATCAGTTATGAAAGAACCTGCAGTTTATGTATTTATACAATGGACTACTGGACTAACTGATCTGTTGCGTGAGTAGCTGTACTCTAACAGAATAATACAGCTGTTCAACTAATTTAAAGATCTAATAGACTACTTTGTTGTGCACCCTCTTCACTTGTGTCTTCTTGTTCACGTGCACCATCCTTCAATATAGGGTGATAGCAAAAAGAGGTCCTTCATTGCAGGGGTGGTTGGCAGTGTGGTTGCCTTTGATGCCCGACTGAAGCCATTCGTTAAAGGGAAGGTGTGAGTTCACGGAGAGAGTTGGAAGGATTCGCTTCAAAACCTCGACTGCTAAAAACAACCTAATAAATGTATAATAATATGAATAATTATTAGCATAATTAAAATAATAATTATTAGTGTACTAATCTGATCATTATTAGCTTATTCCTTAATTAACAAAATAATAATTCCTTAATTTTACTAAAATTTATTCAATTAATTGCCTAATTTTAAAAAATAATAATAGTAATAATTGTATAGTAATATAAAAACCAAGACTATGTGGTTTAATGGTACTTGGGTTGGATTTTTATTTAGAAGATTGTAAGTTTGAGTCTCAGTGGAGGTTTGTAATAGTATGTCTCGACCATTATTACAATTAATTCTTTAATTTATTAATTAGAATAATAATAATTGAAATTACAATTAATTAATTAATTGTATGAATTTATTTTTTTGAATTTATTAATTAATTGTATGCTTTTATTTTATTTTATTTTAAATTTATTTTCTAGACAGTATTGTTGCAAAAGAATTCTCTCCGCGGCTCACGATTCATTAAATCCTTAATTATATTGTAAAGCATTATATATATTTTTTGAATTTAAGTTTTTGTTTTCATTTTATCCTAGACGACATTCAAGTTTTTTTTTTTTTTTTTTTTTTTTTTTTTTTTGAGAATGCTAATCGATTCATTGATAGTTGGAGGTAGATAACACTATTGTATAATCTGAAATTAAACTCAAATCCAAGTTACTTTACATCTATTAACCCAAATTCAGATTATATTAAAATGAAACATAGATTTAAATAATTTCATATAAGAGTTTGTAAATATGGTGACTGCTTTAGTGCTTTTAGAGAGATAACATTATTTACCAATTCGCCACGAAGAACCAATCTCGCGCCGGTCTGGATCTCGGAGGAAGTGATGGTCGGCTTCTTATTGTAGCGAGCCAAGCGAGTCGCCTTTTGGGTGAGCTTCTAGAAGATATCATTGATGAAGTTGTTCATGATGCCCATGACCTTGCTAGAGATTCCGGATGGACTTGCTTCAGCACCTTGAAGATGTAGATCTTATACATCTCCGATGACTTCTTCACCCTCTTCTTCTTCTTATCTCTGGCCGCAGCGGCTCCACCCTCCTTGGGTAGGTGAGGATCCAAATCATGGTAGAAAATCATCATCATCATCATCAACCCATCCTGCAGTACTGAAGGGGAAGTTCATGTGTTGGAAAGGATTCAGAATCTGATTATTATTATTTTCAGAAGTTGAGGGCAGGGGGGTAATGCCGTGATGATTAGATTGTTGGTTGTTTTGGGCAGCAGCGATGAACACATCCTCGTTCATCAAAGAATCGAAGAACGTCGAAAACGCATCCTCGTCCGGGCAAAAATTCATCCCAAAATTATCCTCATTGTCGTCTCCGATATCGATATTAAAGCCCTCATCCCCATTTCCAGTAGTCTGATGATTCGCCGTCGTCCCTCCCACGCTGTTGGGCTGATCAATCTGATGATTCGCCGTCGTCCCTCCAACGTTAACAGTAGCACTGCTATTGATCTTCACTGTCTTGTCTTGGTTGGAAAGACCAACGTGAATGGGTGTGGGTTTGATTATGGGAACTGAGGAAGAGGTGGTATGGTTTTTGGGGTTGTTGGAATTGGTAGGGTTTACGAGTAGAGGCTTGTGGTTTCTTGGATCAATGCCTTGGCTAATCAGCTTCTTGGTCAGGTGAGTGTTCCAGTAGTTCTTTATCTCGTTATCTGTCCGGCCTGGAATCCTTCCTGCTATCAGTGATCACCTTCATAAATAATCAATTTTTATCCCTCTATTCTGAATTTATAATCTCCACTTATTTTTGCCCGCACCATGCACGCAAAAATCTATCTATAATAATCTATAAATTAAAGAATGAAATTAAATATAGCTTTTAGATTTTCAAAAAATATATATAGCTTTTAGAAAAATCTATAATAGATTATATACAATTTTCAAATAATTCAACATAAAATGGTATTAATATATAAATTGTACTTTATTCACTCAACTATATGCTCATCATTTTTTATATCTCAATTATTTGTAAAGTAACTTTTTTTTTGTCCCTAAAATTTTTAGAGAGCAGCTAATTAACCCAGTTTTAATTAAATTCTGGAATTAAAAAAATGGCTTCGCAAACAATTGATGAGGAACAAAAAGTACGTGATAAAATGATTAATTGAGGGACAAAAATGCTATTTTTCAATAATTTGAAGATAAAAATTGCAAGTTGCCTTATAATCTCATTTATTAGGGAATTAAATACAATGTATTACACATAATTTGGGTGAGAAATATTTATTGCAACACTTCTGAACGTGTGTGCTATAACTACAAGAAATTAGGGCATTTCAAGGTATACTACTCTTAACTGGTTGAAGAATAAAAACACGAGAAGAATGATGAAGGAAAGAGATTAGAAACATTTGATTGAAAAAATGTTGTAGCTCATGATATAAGAAGTATCATAAAAGCTCATTAAACAATGACACATCCAACTTAGGGTCTTCATTAGATTTATAAAAAATAAGCCCTCATTTACCTATTTGCCAAAACTGAGAATGACTCTTTAAGCTCATCGGCAAATTCAAAGACAACCAACTCTATTGGACATAGGAAATTAACTCCAAATGTATTATTGCAAATGAGCAAGAAGAAGAGGTAGCTTTTACTTCTTCCATCCAGTTACAATTTAGCATATGCTTCTTATAGAAATTATCACGATACATTATATTCTTAGCAATGTTGAGCAAATTAGATTAAGGAATAAAGTTGAAATTGGCCACTGAACGTAACTTAAAAGTGCAATTAGGCCACTGAATGAAAACAAAGTGCAATTAATCCATTGAACACTTCAAATATATGCAATTTCACCTGATAGCAGGTTACCATCAATTTTAATCGGTTGCGCTTACGTGGAAGGTGAGTTGACATTTTAAATAATTTTTAATAATAAAATTAAAATTAAAATTAAAATTAAAAAATATAAGCAAGCAACTTGTTGGAATTGTTGGTAACCTGCTATCAGGTAAAATTGTATATATTTGGAGTGTTCAATAGCTTAATTGCACATTCTTCTTCTTTTTTTTTTTTTTTTTTTCGTTCAGTGACCTAATTGCACTTTCACGTTACGTTCAATGGTCAATTTGGACCTTATTCCTTATATTAATAATTCAAAGGAGCACAAATCTCTCAAAGCCAGGAATTACCAACTTCTCTCATATAACTAAGGAACTTAAAAAGCTCAATACTCTTACTAGAAAATTGAACAATCTCAAGGCTTAAATAAGAGTGCACAATAAGAGAATGTATAACCTATTTGGTTCGTTGAAAAGAATTGATAAGGAATTGAATTTAAATTCTATGGAAAAGAAATTATTTGAAATATTGATTTCATTGTTTGGTTGTTGAGAAATAATTTATTGGGATTAATTGGTATAAAGATTCAAATG